TAAGATACTTTTTTAAGGATAATTACTTGATGTGAATTCAAAAGTAGATTCATAAATACAATTCACCAAGGACAAACTAATTCACATGCATTTTCAAGGTCATTACTTCTTCACACACATTAAATCTAACTTTTTTTTTAATTTGAAGATTCATTAATATTTAAGATCTTTTTTATATTGAATGAAAATAATTTAATTAACCAGATTAAAACAAATTTTTTAAACATCCTTTGACCTACTTACCGTGACCTAGTTTCCCGTCCTCTCCCTCTCCCCAGGAGTACACCTCCCCATCAGCTGACAGGGCCAGGCAGTGCTTCCCTCCCGAGTTCACAGCCAGCTTCTTAATAAACACATGCTGTATGGACTCCAGTTGTGTGGGGTGGGAAACAGACTCTGTCCCCCCCACTCCTAGCCTCCCACCAGCCCCATATCCTGTGGCAAACACCTACAGGAAAAAAGATAAAATCCATATCTTCTGATGATCACTACTGTAAATACTGTAGATTCCTAAATAAACGCGAGGAATAAATTATCGCTTAATTTCGCGTTGAGCACCACTCGTGAAATAACAAGAGGCCCATGGGCCACATCGCTCACCTGAGAAGCTTTGACCATTCTGTTCTTTACCAGATTTCACCCTTGTTATACATAATGCATCCCAACCCTACCCCACTGATCATAATTAAGACATTTTGAAATCTACACTACCCCATGATCCTTCCATGGGCACATATGTTTCAGCTTTTTTAGCCCAGTGGTTCCTGAGAAGAAGATTTTCAAAGATTTTTCCTATATATTTTTCTATGTAAAACTTTGATTCCCTATAATGGCCCGCCCTTCCCCCGGGGGTCATGATTCCTACAATTTAGAATTTACACTACCCCAGAATGCTTCCACATAAGCTTCACTTTTTCTGGCCCAGTGGTGCTTGAGAAGAAAATTTTCAAAGAATTTTCCTATATATTTCTATATAAAACTTTGATTCCCCATTGTGGCCCCGCCCTTTCCACGGGTGTCATTATTTGAACAATTTAGAATCTACACTATACCAGGATGCTTCCACATAAGTTTCAGCTTTTCTGGCCCAGTGGTTCTTGAGAAGAAGATTTTCAAAGATTTTTCCTATATATTTCTATGTAAAACTTTGATACCCCATTGTGGCCCCGCCCTTCCCCTGGGGGTCATGATTTGAACAATTTAGAATCTACACTATACCAGGATGCTTCCACATAAGTTTCAGCTTTTCTGGCCCAGTGGTTCTTGAGAAGAAGATTTTCAAAGATTTTTCCTATATATTTCTATGTAAAACTTTGATTCCCCATTGTGGCCCCGCCCTTCCCCCGGGGGTCATGATTTGAACAATTTAGAATCTACACTATACCAGGATGCTTCCACATAAGTTTCAGCTTTTCTGGCCCAGTGGTTCTTGAGAAGAAGATTTTCAAAGATTTTTCCTATATATTTCTATGTAAAACTTTGATTCCCCATTGTGGCCCCGCCCTTCCCCCGGGGGTCATGATTTGAACAATTTAGAATCTACACTATACCAGGATGCTTCCACATAAGTTTCAGCTTTTCTGGCCCAGTGGTTCTTGAGAAGAAGATTTTCAAAGATTTTTCCTATATATTTCTATATAAAACTTTGATTCCCCATTGTGGCCCCACCCATCCCCTGGGGGTCATGATTTGAACAATTTAGAATCTACATTATATCAGAATGCTTCCACAAAAGTTTCAGCTTTACTGGCCCAGTGGTTCTTGAGAAGAAGATTTTTTAATGACCCCACCCTATTTTTGTCTTTTCTTGATTATCTCCCCTTGCGAGGGGATATGTCCCTTCATTTTAACAATTTAAATTCCCCTTTACCCAAGGATGCTTTGTACCAAGTTTGGTCAAAATTGGCCCAGTGGTTCTTGAGAAGAAGTCGAAAATGTGAAAAGTTTACAGACGGACAGACAGACGGACAGACGGACAGACGGACGGACGGACGGACAGACAGACGGACGGACGACGGACAAAATGTGATCAGAAAAGCTCACTTGAGCCTTCGGCTCAGGTGAGCTAAAAATCTAGCTTTTATTTTATGGTGCTTAAATCAATATAAAATCGCTTAATCAAAAGTCAAGTCGCGAATTATTGTTCTCGCGATTTGACGTTACAGAGCCATTTCGCGGTAATAAGTTCTCACAAAAAAATAAGGAATCTACAGCACTGTGCTTTATCCATTTAAGTGTATATTTACTATCAATTTTAATAAGTTTTTTCTTGGAGAGTCATCAAATTAGATCAGATTTTAAATGAGCTGTATCTAATGATGAACAGGTAGTACATTTCTTAAAATTAAAAGCATTCTGACCTTTCCTTCAGCTGTCACTGCAAACAGGGTTTGCTCCCCTCCTACCAACTGAATCGGCCTGGTGACCGCTAGGCCCTCACAGCTGACCGGCTGCTTGACCTTGGCACCATCCACTCCTCCGAGCTGCCCCCTGTGATTGTGGCCCCACCCCCAAATTTGACCACTCCCTCCCCAGGACAGAGTCCATTCCTCTGGCTTCCTGTTCAACCACAACAGTAACTGTTCATCTTGTTCTTGTTTAAAAATTTCGTGATTTTCGTGAGCGTTTGTATCCTCTTCCTCGTCACATGAAATGTCCAGAATCTTTTTTCGGACCTCCTCCAGGAAAGAGACTGGCAAGGCAGTCCTTTGGACGATCCCTGTGGCGACGCGTGCTGCCATGCAATAGCGACGGAACCACGCCCACTTGTGTGCTTCACTGCAGCAGTTCAGCTTGTCAAGTTCAAGGTCACAGGCTAAGGCCACTAGAACCTGAAAAGGAAGCCAGCAAACTGTGATTAATATGATAAATATGATAAACATACTATATGACAGGGGGAGATCTGCATTCTATGTATAGAAAATGTAATGATGTTTAGGAGATATGCTTTAAGAGATATGAATTACTAGTCAAGAATCATCTAATCATTCCTAAATACAAAGCAACAAAGATTCCTTCACTTCATCTCTTATAATAAAAAAAAATTCAAAAAGTAATATCTAAAATTAAGTTTAATAAAAATAATCCATACAAATATCACTGCTGTCTAGTAGACACTTTACCTTGAAGAATGGGCTGTGCATCAGGTGTTTGCCGCTCCTGACTATAGGATCCTCGTAGTCATACTGTCTCTGTAGGGCCTCGGGCAGACCCTTAACAAGGGAGGTCACCGAGGAACTGCATAGCAACTGTACAAGGAAAACCAGTACAGTGTTACTGATGGCTTGTAAACATTTCTCACTTCTTCTTTATCATGCCTTTATACAATTCTTCTAAAACCTTTACCAGCTCTTTTCAAGCTTATAGCAGGAATGGGGACAAGAGATACCATAACCTCAAAATGCATGTAAATATCTGAGAGATATATGCTATTGTTAATAAACATATAATTTTTAAACAGTGAAGAATGTCTTATTCAAGACTTGTGAAAATTTTTTCACTGTAAATTTTCACCTTTAGTTTCAATCCCATTTTACATGATTTTTACACTGTGTAATCCATTACCCCACCTCTGATTTTTCCATGAAATCCTGGCTTATGAATGGTTGAAGTCTGTCATGTGAAGAAGGTGAATTACTTACACATTGTCAGTTGTAAATCTATACCCGGTCAGTTGTAAATTTATACCGGTCGGTGTATTACATAACAAACACATCGTGACGTCATAATCGGCACAGTATACTGTAAACCAACTATTATTCGCGTCATCTTTTATTCGCGATTCGTCAGTTTGAAATCAATCCGCGACGATTAATTTCCGCGACCGAAAAAACTTTCTCTACAAATCCTTAGCAAAATGAATGGTTCGCGGCGATTAATATTCGCGAGTCAAAGGAGGTCGCGGAACTCGCGGATATTTCTCGCACGCGAATAAAAGTTGGTTTACAGTAAGCGTGATGAAGGATGTAGCAGAGAAAAAAAAAATTTTTAAACCACAGATAATATGTTAATGTTTCATCAGTGGGGTAAATTCGGTACACAGTCTTTTAGTGACAGGGTACGGGATGATACCTGGTTAGTAAGTTTCATACCTGACTCGGCTCCACCTCGCCAGGTATGAAATTTACTAACCAGGTATCATCCCGTACCCTGTCACTAAAAGACTGTGTATTTAATAATACCCTCTCTTCTGACACATATTTTGTCTCCCAGTGCATGTTGGATTAGATGGGTTAACTTACTGCTGTAGAAGATCGAGGTGTCAGGTCAGGCTCCGCCGTCTCTACAGTGGGACTGGCCAGTAATGTGTTGACATTGACGATCTGGTCGGAGGTGTCAGAGGTCATCAGTTTCCGTAGTTTCTGTAAAGCCCACATTCTCTGGCTGGACCCTGTAATAAATGGAAACTCAAATTATTCCATGACTGTAAGAAACAAATTACCTCAGGACATGTTTACTTCACTTAGATATCCATGAATGTATGTTGAAAATGAATATAATTAGATACTGTTTGAACTAATTAATTGACTTCCTCCATCACTTAATTCTTTTTTTTTCTCTCCATAACCTTGACCTTTTATTTACCGGTATATCTTTGAGTTAGATTCAGGATACACCCTCAGGTGAAAGATACTTTTTTTCTCAGTTACAAACTATCAATGTACCTTTTCAATCACTTGAAGTTGAACTTGACTAAAACTTTAATGCTTCCATCAATCACCTCGAATTTTACTAACACTTGTTTTGAAAAGAAAATTATTCACAGGAACCAACCTAGTGAACTAAGCTGAGCATTAGCAGCCAGAGTCACAGCCAGTCTGGTGACGATATTCCTGGCCAGATTAATGTCCAGTTTGAAGTCCAAAAGACAGGTGACCAGGTCTATAGATGGACGAGACAAAACCGTTCTATCGGATAGCATATCCATGGGAGCAGCAGCAGGCATAATGGGATACAAGGTGAAGTACCAGCCCCAACCGTTAACGGAGCCATCGCTGACAAACTTCCACCGTAGTTCATCTCCGTCAATCCGCAGCTCCTGGGACCAATCAGACCACTCTCGTCCTTAAAAACAATAAGTTAACTAGTGCTAATTGTAACGGGGATCGTTACAGATGTTCCCCAAACGCTCCCCATCTCCCTTTTGGTGCCATATTCCCTGTAAGCTTCAATAAAGCTTCAATGAATAAGACAAACTTTATGCATTTGAGACTTTTACAACGTTTACCCAGAAGGGTACCAAGTTCATTCAAATTTTAGCATTGCACGCGTGCGCATGTGAATGCATGTGCGTAATGACCATATCATCTTGTCTACACAATCTATATACTTTAATATACTAAATATTGAAGTATTTAATCCAAAAGTATTAAAAAATACGCTCATTCACGTGTATTTTTGATTTTACTCATTTCACGTGCACGCACGTGCATACATGAGCATGGTGACATACCTTCTTGTAGAAGTCCATTACATCTATCTATGTTCTAAATGCCACCCCGTTTGGTTGAAAACCAAGGGAGTTCTAGCTGATTAAAGTTTCAGCCAATCAGATTGCAGCGTACGTTCACGCACGTGTATTAATGTGCATGATGATCATACCTTCTTGTAGAAGACCATTATATCTATCTATGTTCCAAATCCCATCTTGTTTGGTTGAAAACCAAGGGAGTTATAGCTTTTTAAAATTTCAGCCAATCAGATTGCAGCGCACGTGCATGCACGTGTTTTCATGAAAATTGTTATATATCATGTTGTAGGATATTCTAATGCATGGTTATGTTCAAAATTTCAAAGGATTTCATAAAAAAACAAGAAAGATATTGAGACTTTAGTTTCAGCCAATCAGAGCGAAGCACACGTGCATGCGCGTGAGATCTTGCTATTTTGACCATGTAATATTGTCTATCCTACTATTATATCCTTATATTATGAGTTTCAAAGCATTTCATCAAAAAGATAAAAATTTACCCCTATATCAATTAAATCGGTCATTTCACGTGTTGCTCGTGCGCGCTCTTGCAAGCACGTGTACACAAAATGGCATGTTGACAATATCATCTTATCTTCATTTATAATATGTCTATATATTCTAAATATCAAAGCATTACATCGAAAAATGTAAAAGTTACCGCAATTTCAAGTATATTGATCATTTCACGTGTTGCACGTGCGCGCTCTTGCAAGCACGTGCGCGCAAAATGACCTTCGTTCCGCAAATCTACATAACATGCCTACTCACCCTAAAAAGGTTTCCCCTTAATCGGATGTGTACTTTACAAGATCATTCGCGGACAAAATTTTCCCGAGAAGAAAAATAATAATAATAAGAAACAGAGTAAAAACAATATGTTCCCCAACTTCGTTTGGGGAACATAATCATAAATTTTTAAGATCCCATAGATCTGCCTATAATAATCTACAAAACTGAAGTTTTTTTGTGATTTTAGGAAAAAATACTGGTTTGAGGGGATTTGATTTTGTAAGTCGAGGATAAACATACATTGTTGTTCAAAATTTTAAGCATAAAGAGTAGAGGTCATTACCTGATTTAACAGCCAGGGTTCTACCACAGCTGTCTGAGATTGTCAAGGGATCATGTCTCATCTCCGTAGAACAACGTCAATCAAACTCCACCCGCAAGGAATCAGCTCCTACAAGAGGGGATTATAATATGGTCTTACTAAAATCACATAGACTGTACATGTACATTCAATCAGATAAATAACCTGATAGTTAAATAACTCTATCAGCAAAAAATATGCTATCCATACACTTAATTATTCTGGTGGCTTTAATATGAATTTTTTTCTAACTGTTAATTATTTACTGGTATTTTGACTCTTGCCATTCATTGTTTATTTTACCGGTATTTTGACTCTTGCCACTCAGAGTTTATTTACCTAGTATTTTGACTGTCCCACTCAGTAGTTATTTAGTAATACCTAGTATTTTGACTGTCCCACTCAGTAGTTATTTAGTAATACCTAGTATTTTGACTGTCCCACTCAGTAGTTATTTAGTAATACCTGGTATTTTGACTGTCCCACTCAGTAGTTATTTAGTAATACCTGGTATTTTGACTGTCCCACTCAGTAGTTATTTAGTAATACCTGGTATTTTGACTGTCCCACTAAGTAGTTATTTACCTGGTATTTTGACAGTGCCACTAAGTGAAGTATCATCGCTGTAGGGGTGGGGACACTCCTGTACCACCGGCTGTGGTAGCCTCCCACAGACTCGATCTGATGCCACATCCTCAAACTCTGTAACACACAGCTCCAACAACATCTCAGCCACCTTAAAATAAAAATAATGAATTTAAGTTAACATGATTACACGTTATAAAAGAATGGAAAGAGGTTTTAACTGCAGGAGTGATTGTAAAAGTATGAAGCCTCAACTATTTAACATTTGTCTGCAGTATTCAAGTTCTCAAAGATACCGTATAACTGGATTTTTCTACGGGGTGCTATTTTTTGCGAAATTCTGCGATCAAGTCTTAATCGCAAAAAATTCAATCCCAAAAAATACGTAAATAAAATCCAGAATTTTCAGTTGCGATCATCGAAGTTCTACTTTTACAGATACCGGAAGTATATGTAAATAATGCCATTGCATGTTTTCAATCGTATTTTACAGGTAATTTACTTGATATCAACAACAATGATTGTTTTTCGAATAAATAAAACGAATTCCTTAAGATTCAATATTTATTTGTTCCTACATTGTATTTCATGATTTATTTATATGAAACTCGAATAGCAATTAATTGTCAGTTTGGCTATTCCCCGGCTTGAGCGGGTCCTGCACCAGTGTTTACAAGATTTTTCTTAATCGGTATTCTGTCCTTGAGAAAAGAATTTCTTGTGTAATATTTCCCATACTGAGATTATATAAACTCTCTATAACCATAAATGAAAGTTCATAGTCTATGGGAACTTACTGAAACGAACATCTATAAATTAATTTCAAAGAATTATCGTCTCAGTTTCAATTAATTCAAAATACTTGTGACTTTGTTTCTATTTTACCCTGTGAATAATAACCAATTAATTATAACAACACACGGACGACCCACAGGTGTAGTGTCATCTATGTAAACACCCAATAAATTAACAGCCCAAGGCCTTCACTGTTTCCAGGTAAGTCCAGACTGCAACTATTTTACGCTTGATTGGCGTGTATAGAAACGCAATCAAAACTTCGAGAGATAGAGAGTGAAATTCAATGAAATATGTGTAACGGGGCCCAGGTTTTGGTTCGAGAAATAGAAGTTCGAGAGATCAGGAGTAAAATTGCTTAGTTCTATAGAGAAAAAAAACGGGACCAGGGGTTCACTTCAAGAGATCGAGAACTTCCCGAAATCAGAGTTCAAGCCATCGAGAGTCACCTGTATTTTAAATTGCTTTGGTTTGTTCAATAAAAAATAAAAATAGACTTTATTGTTTAAATGTCTAGTAATGAAATTCAATAAAAATAGACTTTATTGTCAAAGTGAAATCGCAAAAATTAAAATCGCAAAAAATAAATATACCTATTTCAGGATCCAATCGCAAAAATTTGCACCCGCATTAAAAACCAGTTATACGGTATCTAATATGCATGAAACAGCTCAAAGCCTTAAAAAAAATTTTTTTCAAACATTGCAGTTTTAAAGCTTAATTCAAGATATATGAAAGGAAATTATTAGAATATTAATTCAATCCTCATCTGATGACCTGTCCAATGTAACATAAAATCACACAAATGACTTATTCAATGAAACACAATGGGAGATGTACCTGAGGATACGCCTTGGCCAGTCTAGTAAGGATGTCTGACAGTCCCTCTTTAGCCAGTTCTCCCATTCTGGACGCCACAGCAAGCTTCAGAAGTTCTACCAAATTACGAGCATCATTAACTGACATTCTAGCAGTGAAGTCATCCAGACCTGATGGAAAGTTTGTTGGGCCGGCTTCCATGGTACTCATGACCTCATCTGCAGAGGTCAAGGTCTCAGCTATGATGCTTGTTTCCATGGGAACTAAAGCTGCCAGACTTTGCATGCTTGTGTATGATGAGATTTCTGAATGCACCTAAAATAATATGAAACAAAATTATTACCTCTATTATAAATGTTTCACAACTTTCAAACACAACATCTTTTCGGAAATATTTCAGTCGCAAGCAAATTTATAGTTCATGTTTTTACTTGCTTGTAGTGAGTTTCAGGTTAGGACCCTGATAAACAAGTATCTATATATCAAAAATGCAAGTTAGAACCAGTTTATGTCTAAATTATATTTTTTTCCTTCTATCAGTGAATTGTAAAACCAGTTTATGAGCAAATGGCATTTCTTTATTCTATATAAAACCTACCCCACTGACAGCCTCTGTGACAGTCTCCCCCACTGTCAGCTGTATGTCGGCGTGGTCCAGCACCTCGTCCATCCCCTCCCTGTGTAGATTCTCCTCCCTGTCCACAGGGAGCTCATCAGTGCTGGCCGCCAGGGAACCTGTCATACCCAGGGGCTTCATTTCTGGTGAAACTGGCACAGGCTGGCCATCTGTCTCCAGGGACTTCACTATTGCATCTCTGTTTAACATGAAAATTCTTATGAGTTTAAATACTATTCTTGGCAGAAATAATACATGTATCTTATTTTACTTCAGTGAATTACATTTTACATCTTGGAGTCAAGCCTACTCCCAGGCCCTTCCTCACGCCCTCCCACTATTTACAGTAAAACACACTTATAAAGAAGTTCCAGTGCTAGACAATTTATTTGGTCTATTGATAAACTTAATTCATGACATTCATTAAGTTCACAGTATATCTTGACCAGTTTACCTGTACAACTGTACTTCCCTTTTTTATAATCAAGGCTATTTAAAAGATAAATTCAGAAAGACCAGAAAGCCTTTACCTGGAGTAGAGAATCTGTAGAGCGGTCAGAATATAACCCAGGGCCTGCTGTTTACTGGTGTCTGTGTCCTGTGATAGAATGATTTTGGACAGAGATGGACGTACAGTTTTGGAAGTTGAATTTTGGGAGGCAGCTGTAGATACCGAGTTCTCCTCTGCATTGCTCTCGTTCACACCTTTATCAATCAACAGGGAAAAAAAACATTTATTTTATAAAAGAAATGCACAAGAAATTAAAAAAAATCATCTTGAATGCCCCTCATTTTCTGCTGTACCTCCCCCCCCCTAATATTAGTCAAATCTTCATAAAACAGGAATGAATTGTAATCCTAATCCTTACCCAGGAGTGTTGCCCCCAAGGGATCCCTGGAGGTGGAGAACAGTACCGGCTCGTGGGTGGTGGGAACAGACATGTCTGTGGTGGCCCAGGCAATGCTGTGGGAGGAACCACACGCTACCTTACTGATCTTGTACCCCTCAAGCACCACCAGGGCTGGCTTTCTGTTAACTGTGGTGGTTCCATTTCCTTGCTGTCCGTGGTCATTATCTCCCCAAGCATACACCTAGACAAAAAATTCATAGTGAGAATGTTAAACAATTTCAGATCCTTCAATTATTGTATTTCAAAATATTAAAACTATTAGGGCAGTAAACTTCCATCCATCTAATCCTGGTTCTTGACACAACATGACTGAACAGTGATTAACAAGCTGTGGATGTACATGTACGTTTACTTATCTTCAATGTAAAATTCAACCAAGTTTACATTATATATTTTAAAAATATCTCCCACAGGTCTGTAAAACTTGAGTACATTTGACTCACCTGCCCCGTGTCAGTGATAGCCAGACAGTGGAGTGCCCCCACAGCTACATGGACGATCTTCTTCCCCTTCAGTCCCTCCACAATCTGAGGCTTCCTTACATGAGCATCAGTTCCATGACCCAATCGAAAATAGTCACCTTTGCCCCTAAAAACATGAATTGAAGCGCATCAATTTATTATTTTATCATTCCTCTTCGATTTCTGTGACCTGATAAATCTTAAGCTGCTGCAAAATTAATTTACCAGTAGGTATGATTCCTTTGAAAAACTGATTGGTAAAAGGCAATGGAATCATTTCATTCTTTATCAAGCACAGACACATGCAATTCAAAGGTAAGCCATATCTAGTACATGTATATAATTATTCATTATGGAATAAATGCTCACCATGTCCACACTTGTCCAGACTTGGTCAGAGCCAATGAGAACTGGGCACCACACTCAATCTGACACACCTTCTGATCCCTCAGTCTCTCCACTTCGTGAGGGACATTACATCCCTCACTCCCCCCTCGACCCAGTTTTCCAAAGTCCCCGTCCCCCCAGGAGTAGACGTAGCCCTCGTCTGTGAGGGCCAGGGTCTGGGCGTCCCGACTACCACAGGCCACCTGTACGACTCGCTGATGGGCCAAGTGTTTGACCTAAATTAAAATATTAAATGCATCGAGAATAAAGCAACTTTTAAAAAAAAAAGATTGATTTTTTCAATGAAGGTGGGCTACAAAACGCAACAAGAGGCCCATGGGCCACAGTTTTCACCTTGCAATAGCTATTGTGGCCCCACCCTACATGTACGCCCTGGGGCCATGATTTGAACAATTAAGAATCTACTCTACCCAAGGATGCTTCCACATACTTGTAAGTTTCAGATTTTCTGGTCCATTGGTTTTTGAGATGATTGATTGTATGCTGTTTTAAACATCCCTCTCAAGAATTTTTCATTATCCCTCTCAAGAATTTTTCATTCATATGTAGATGCTACCACTTGTCGATGGAGATCTCAAGTTTTGTCCTATACTCTGCACTTAAGGCCATTGAGCAGTGAGGAAATGTGCTAGCGCCTATTATTACCTAAATTACTATATAAATTATAATTAGGCATTTTGAACTGTTTCACGGTTTACTTTATGTTTTTGTGTGATCATGAAACAGTGAACTGTTGACCGGTCCACAGAATGAAATGTTGCCTGTTTAAAGCGTCATCGTGATATTCAAGCATTTTGATGATCACGACATCACTATTTACCTGCTCTATAATTAATCACATTTAAATAAAACACACAAACAGTCAATTTATTAAGTATTACTTTAAATTAAAAATATTGATTTAATCTTTATATTTTGTGTTCAGCTAATTAATAGACAAGTATTTGAATAAACAGTTGTGAAAACTTTTTATTGATTGTTTGTGTGTTTTTATTCCAATTTAATTAATTATATAGTAGGTTAGGTAATAAAACACTTATTCAATGACTACTCGGTGAAACAGTCAAACTGTTGTCCCTCGGTAGTGGGGGAGACCTGGAAAACTGTTGCCCTCGGCCTTCGGCCTCGGGCAACAGTTTCCCAGGTCTCCCCCACTACCTCGGGACAACAATTTGACTGTTTACCTCGTAGTCATTAAATAAGACAGTGTATACTGTGACACAGGACCCTGGCTTATATGGTCTTATCCGAAGAACCTGTCTCTACATCCCACAGTGGGATTCGTACCTGCGAGGTAGGGATGACTCCTTACTTTGCGACTCTAAAGCAGACGCTCTAACCACTGCACCACGGAGGTGACATGGTTCTTCAGAAGAAGATTTTAAAAAGATTTTTTCTACATATTTCAATGTAAAACTCAGGGATTCCCCATTATGACCCCGTCCTAACCACGCATAAGAAGTTTTTAATGACCCACCCTATTTTTGTCTTGCCTTGACAAGATTTAATATCCCTAGTCCTTGTAGGCCTAGAGTAAGCAAAATATCCAAGTTTTAACAAAAACATAACTTTTTGTCAACATTATAGCAGCACCTTAAGACCATATCTTTTGTCCCCAGGGTGATGCCTTGAACAATTTTTATCTACAACATATTCTCATCCTTGTACTCTAGATCACTTATTTTTCGTGAAACTTATTTTTGTGAGATAGTCATTGACTCTTTATTATCGAGATAAAATTTTCGCGATTTGTGGTCATTGCTCTATATAATCTTACGGGATTCTATCATACACGAGAATGAAATTTTCGCTAGCATACCTTCTCGCGTAATTACACAACCAGAAGTCTCTGTCGAGACTGAAGCTCTACTGGTTTGTACTTATAGCAAAGGAAGAGAAAAGCACTTAAGCAGTTGGAAATTGAAACTTTTCAACAGCAATAAATAGAATAGAATAATGATCCTTGATTAAGTCTCTTTATGTTCTTAGTGTAGTCTACTTGCATGCCACATTATATTATAACCAGACTATTTGGAGTAGCATTTTGAGAGTATTTGACAGAAATTTCTATTTTTAGTAACCATGGCAACACCATTCATTGAAGTGAAAAACTAATATACAGAATTATGTACCTTAGTGTAGTCTACTTGTGTGCCAAGTTATATTGAAATCAGACCAAAACTGTAGGAGGTGTAGCATTTTGAAAGAATTTCACAGAAATTTCTATTTTTAGTAACCACGGCAACACCGTTCATCGAAATCAAAAACCGATACACAGAATTATGTATCTTAGTGTAGTCTACTTGTGTGCCAAGTTATATTGAAATCAGACCAAAACTGTAGGAGGAGTAGCATTTTGAAAGAATTTCACAGAAATTTCTATTTTTAGTAACCACGGCAACACCGTTCATCGAAATCAAAAACCGATACACAGAATTATGTATCTTAGTGTAGTCTACTTGTGTGCCATGTTATATTGAAATCAGACCAAAACTGTAGGAGGAGTAGCATTTTGAAAGAATTTCACAGAAATTTCTATTTTTAGTAACCACAGCAACACTGTTCATTGAAATCAAAAACCGATACACAGAATTATGTATCTTAGTGTAGTCTACTTGTGTGCCAAGTTATATTGAAATCAGACCAAAACTGTAGGAGGAGTAGCATTTTGAAAGAATTTCACAGAAATTTCTATTTTTAGTAACCACGGCAACACCGTTCATCGAAATCAAAAACCGATACACAGAATTATGTATCTTAGTGTAGTCTACTTGTGTGCCTAGTTATATTGAAATCAGACCAAAACTGTAGGAGGAGTAACATTTTGAAAGAATTTCACAGAAATTTCTATTTTTAGTAACCACGGCAACACCGTTCATTGAAATCAAAAACCGATATACAGAATTATGTATCTTAGTGTAGTCTACTTGTGTGCCAAGTTATATTGAAATCAGACCAAAACTGTAGGAGGAGTAGCATTTTGAAAAATTGTTTACAGACAGACAGACGGACAGACAGACAGATGGACGGACGACGGAAGCATTACCATCGCATAAGCTCTTCTGGTCTCTGACCAGTAGAGCTAAAAATCAATTCTTTAAAAGTCTTTCAATATATCTTCATTTTTTTCATATGTGTTAGGTGAATGTGTAGACATTGTTCTAAAAGTTACTTGAACCCTAAAGTTATAATTCCTATTGTAAAACAGACAGGGAGTATTAGGGAGTAGGGTGAACATTTTTTCAATTAAGTGTAAAATAATTTTTCTGGCTGATACAAATGATACTACATGCCTGTATATACATTGTAATTGTATATTCTTGCATATTCTTGCCTTTTAATAGTTGAATTTCTTTTTTATTTCTTCAGGTTATTGTTTATTTCTTCCTCAAATGGACTTCACTTCTCCCATAGTTTTATTCATTATTGCATAAGCAACCCTTTTCTGAAGAATGATGCTTAGACTGTAAGCTATAACAGAGACCTAAACAATGTCGCTGGCAATATGCAATAGCTACCACGAGCAGTTTAAAACCTGGGGGAGGAAAATAATTTACAGACAGTAACTTTTGAAACGAATACATACTTTAATTATCTCACCAGCATGTCATTGTGCAACAAAGTCGTCAGCATTTTATTTGTCCTTCGAACGGGTGAAACGTTTTGAATGGCACTCGTATCGATGAATTTTACACTACACCAAGCTGTCTTGTCAGATCTAGCTTTATTTACCCGCTGTTTCATCGTAAAACCGGAAGTGCGAGATCGTAAAATTGAAATCGCGATCCCGACTCAAATTTGACATTGGAAAAAAAAATATTTTTATTTTTTTCTGAAAATTCAAAACCTTGAGCGGAGGGTTTGTAAAAATGAAAATAAAATAAATACTGGCCTTAAATATAAAATTAGATCATTAGCATATTAACCAGGAGCAAAGGATAAGATGTTCAAAGAAATCATGCATTTCACAATATATATAATCATTAGGGCCCCACCCTAAAACAAGAACCCCTGACCCCGGGGCCATAAAATTCACAATTTTGGTAGAAGTACTCTTGCTCATCATAACTATGTACTTAGTTGGTTTATAAATTTAATACCCAGGAGCAGAGAAGAAGATTTTCAAAGAAATAATGCATTTTCAATACCTACTTATTTAGCCCCACCCTAGCACTAGAACCCCTGACCCCAAGGCCATGAATTTCACAATTTTGGTAGAGGACTCATTGCTTGTTACAATCATGCAAACAGTTTGACTGCTTGATGTCCAGGAGTAAAGAAGAAGATTTTTAAAGATTGCATTAATTTTAGTGGTTTTGGCCCCACCCCTAAGGCCCCAGGGGGGCAGGGATCATGAAATTCACAATTTTTATTCCCCTTCACCCATAGATGCTTTGTGCCAAATTTGGTTGAAATTGGTTCAGTGGTTGCAGAGAAGAAGCTGAAAATGTTCAAATGTTAACGGACAATGCACAACGCACGACGACGGACGAAAACAGATAGCAATAGGTCACCTGAGTTTACTCAGGTGACCTAAAAAAGGAAGTATTCCTCACAACAAAGGCCAGAAGAAAATAGGGACCACCAGCCTAGTCCAATCTCTGGTTCCCATAAGAAGACTAAGTAAAGAAGAATTTCAGGACATTGTACAGCCACAGAAAAATGGAGTGTTTGCAGTTATAGATGCCAAGAGCCGAAGCAGCGAGATGAAGTTTTTACGACCCAGGCCAAGTGAGGTCCAGCCAGTGGACACCTACATGGAATCTGTGTCAGATGACCCAAATTCAAAATTATACAAAGTACTTCACCAAGAAAAGACTGCTAAATTGTGGAACAATGCATTTAAAGAACACTCACAGAATTTTCCAGACTGTGATGGTCAACTGGACTGGAATCAGCATGGGGAGGAAAAACGAGGCCTTGCACGGATCCTTTACATTCGATGTAAGAAGTGCCACTATGCCAGTCACCGAGAAAAGCTTTACGAAGAGGTGAGAAGATCTGGCAGGGGATGAAGAGCTGCACAGCTGAATGTGGCCATGGCTGTCGGTCACCTGGGTACCAGTCTTACAACAGAGGGTATGTGTAGTATGCTTCTTGGTGCATATATTAAACCAGCGTCAGCCACCAACATGCAACAGACCTGCAACAAAGTGGGGAAAATTATAACCAATGTAAATAAAAACAGTATGAAGAAAATTCGGCAGAATATTCAAGAACTTAATGAACCAGAAGTCTCTGTCGAGACTGAAGCTCTACTGGTTTGAACTTATAGCAAAGGAAGAGAAAGTACTTAAGCAGCTGGGATTTGAAACTTTATAAACAGCATTAAATAGAATAATGATCGTTGATAAAGTCTCTTTATGTTCTTAGTGTAGTCTA